TTCTCTTGCCCCGTTCCTGGTGCCTTTTCACGGGGCTAGAATAGTTGAGGGTAGATAGTTCTGCCTTCCTTTTAGCTTCTGCTTTGAACTCAGCTGGTGTTCCTCATTTCTCCAAATTTAAGAGAAAATTGGAGAGCTGTGCTAGCCGATACAGTAACCACCAGCCACGGGTGGCTAAGTCAGTTAGAATTACATCAAGTTAAAAACCCATTCCTCAGTTACACTAACCGCATTTCAAGTGCTCAGTTGCCACATGTGGCTAGTGGCTACTGTAGTGAGCAGGCAGGTCGAGGCCATTTCTGTCTGTTGGACAGCACTGCTGGAGAACTAAGCTGGCTTAGCAGTCACAGCCCCAGCTTTGCTGGCGTGACCTTTGTCTTCTTGGGCAAAGGACGGGGTTGGGGAGGGCTGACTACGCCCTAGATCGGAGCCTGTTACCCATGGCCTTCCCTTCCAGAGAGGAGGCTTGGTGGCCTCGCCTGAGTAGGCTGCATCTTCTGACCCCACTGGCTGGGGTGGGGGGAATCAGCCTCACTTCCTGAACCCTTCACCCCCACAACCCAGGGTTCCCAGCTGGCTGGGTCCTCTTCTCCATCCCCCACCCACCCATCCCCAGGTCCTTTCCTCTGGCTGTGTTGGACGTGAGCACCTCTTGTAGCCCTTCACACTGTTGTCTGTTACTGACTTTTTGATAAAGAGATAATAAAACCTGATACTTTCTACATCGCCTGTCTCTGTGGTTTTAAAGTTTCTAAGAAGTTCTCTCCGGGCTGTTTCCCTTGGCTTCAGTGGAGCTTGAGAGGACTGCCCTGCCCAAATGCCCTTTGGGGAGGCAGACAGTGGAGGCAGAGATGTGGGAAGCCAGGAAAGGCCTGGAGAAGATGGAAGAAGTGGGAGTGTGCGCCCGGTGGCCTGCAGGGCACGCACGCCTACCTCTGTGTTGCATAGATGGTACCGTGTTTAACAAACACACAGAAGTCCTTGATTAGTTGCCAACTAGAAATGAGGCCATTTCCCATAAAAATCCAGGTTCCTCACTTCTCTTGGGGAAAAAGATTTGACAACTCTCAGGCAGCATGGCAACAATTAGCTGCTGCAGGCAGGAGTCCACCTACACGTGGCTTCTCAACCTCGACACAGACTGTCCACCAGCTTCACTCACGTCGTCAGCTTGGCCTCAGCGGGCATTGTAACTGGCGGACTCTAGACAATTCTTTTGATCCTTGATCCTCACAGCAACGCTGGGAGGTGGGTAAGATCCTTTTTACCTAGCAGACCACCGGCAAGTCCATTCTGTGCCTAACACCTGCACTCACTTAATCGTCACAATTCCGCACAGTAAGGTCCTGTTAGCACCCCCATTTTACAGATGAGGAAACTAGCTAAGAGGTTAAATAACTCGCCCAAATTGACACACGTACCAATGGATTCAGACCCTGGCTGGTGGGCTCCAGAGTGCTCACAATCACACTATCCAAGGGTTTGGGTCAAGGTTCCTTCACTGGGGCTGCTCAGGCCCCACAAACCCGCTCTGAAGCAAGGAGTCTGGTCTCAAAGCTCTTCTGAGACCCCTGCCACACTCGGTTTTCCTGAGCCCCAGGAGGCTTGAGGGGGTCTCTGCTCCTTGTAACTGGAGTCTTGGAAAAGCCCTCACATCTGTTCCATTGGTGTTGTCCAAACTGCCTGCTCATTTTGAGTCACTAGGGGTTTGGGGATGAGCTTGGTAGAGTGGTCCCCACTTCAACATTTTATAACCAAAGTGAGTCCATAAGGAGCTTGGTCCCAAGGTCGTGCCTTTCTCCAGGACTTTGCCTGCTCCTCCCATCCCCCACCCCTGCCCCAGGTGGCGAGCAGCCAGTTACAGCAGGTGTTTACCACTTCACCACTGAAAGCATTATTGTGTCACCGCTGCCCTGCCTGCCTTTGTCAATTGGGGCCTGGAACAGAGCCAAGCCTTACCGTGGGGCCTTTTTGGTGAGTATGGTCAATGTTGACCCTTGCAAAACTTATTATTGTGTTATTGGTTTCATTCCCCTTAAAGCCACTTCCTCTCTCTTACCATCTTCATGGTCTATTGCCTAAGCAGTCCACATCCTCCCCAGGGAGGAAGGTCCCTGAGAATTTCACCCACACCGTGGTTATGAGTTCTCTTTGAGGAAACCCAATTTAAACGAGAGAAAGCAAGAGACCCAAAGGTCCATGCTTAAGCCAGAAAGTTAGTTTGTTCATGGTGGAACCTCAGGCAGCATGAAAGCTGGTCAATTGGGAGATTTTGGAACAAATTTTTAACCTTATTCTCACTATGTGCCCTGCCGCCTGCTTTCTGCCCCTTGTAACCCCCCCCTCCCCCCCCCCTCCCCCCCCCCAGCTAGAAGCAAACTAAAAGTGTTAAATACTCTTAGGTAGAGAATTAAAAGAACCTCAGAGCACCAGACTTAGCATCAGTAGTATAGGATTCAAATCAGGCTCCGTCCTCAAACCTGCTCTGAGAACTTCATGGGCCTTCTCTCTCAGAGCCTCAGTTTCCCCATCTGTAAAAATGAGGAGGAAATGTGAATGGGAGCAATGTTTCTCAACCCTGGAAGGTTCGGGTCCTGAGAGCTTGAAAAAGTGAAGATTAACTTGAGGAACCCTGACAGTAGGCAAACTCAATTCTCAGGAAGGGAACAGTGCCACCTGCTGATTTCACTTTGCACTTGCAACCTCCAGATAACTGCCAATGCAATGGAATGCAATTTGGTATTTATTGAGCCCAACTCAATAATCAAGCATTGTACTGCGCCCTCCAGGATATGCAGCGATGAGCTTTCCACTTGAAGCTCATAGTCTATAGGAGACACTTGAAATGTACATAAAGCCCTTTATTCCAAGGGCGACATGGTCCCAAGTGAGGTGTTCCACAAGGTGGAAAGCCTGAAACCAGGGCCTGCTTTATGGTCATGTGACGTGTCCAGTCACAATAGGCCTTGTGCTTAGCAGGGCCCTGCCTTAATTTCAGGCTCTGCTGTCGCTGTCTTGAAATTCTGAATAATTTTGGCACAAGGGGCATACATTTTCTTGCATGGGGCCCTACACATTGTGTAGCCGATCCTGCCTTGGGGAAATCTTGGAGTTGGTGCCATCTGAGCTGGGTTTGGAGAACAGGGTGGTAGTGGCAGGAGAGGAAAGGAGGAAGCCTATTTTAGTGTGGAAGGAGGGGTGGAGTCAGTCCTTAGACCTTAGAAACTGGGTGATGGGGGGGGAGGAGATAAAAGATGAAGGGCTATGCAGGGGATGGGCAGGGAGGGGAGTTTGATGTTCCATGGATTCAGGCTCAGGCTAGGAGGACCTCCAAGGACAGTCCAGCAGCTGGAACTCAGGCTAGGGCTGGAGCTTTGCGGTCATAGACTTCCAGGGGGGTGTGCGGGTGAGACCAAGCGTTCTAGGGTGCCCTGAAGCAAGCTGCATGGCTGAGCCAGGGCTCTCAGGCCAACCTAGGTTCTTGGCTTCCACCATGCCTGCCTGTGGAGTGGCAGAGGAAGTCCTTGAGGGCAGGGCTGGATGGGCCCTTGAGCCCCAACTTCCTGTGTGGTGGGCTGCGAAACTCCTCTTAGCCTCCTTCGAGTGGCTTCCTGCTTCAACACCATCGCAGGCACGGAGCCCAAGCTCTCCTGAGGTGTGCACTCAAGTCGGGGACATTTCCCATTCAACTCGTGCCCTGCATTCCTTGACCAGGATTCGCTCTCGGCGGCCACAAGGGGCCTTGAACAAGCTGCTCCTTCCCTGTGACAGGGGGTTCACCCTGCTGATCGAGGTCCTGGGGAGTCTAAAGAGCAAACCTCTTGGGAATTGTCAGCATCTTCTTTCTCATGGGGCTTTCCATGTTCTGGGGGAGGAGTTCTGCAGGAAATGAGCCCCTCCTCAGAGTTCAAGGAAAGTTCAGGTGGGGGGGGGGGGAGGTGAGAACCCTGAACCAACATTTCAGACTGGTTCTCTCCGTTTGGCACCATGAGGAGCCAGTGCAGGTCGCTGGCACCTGTGATATGTGTGCCTGGTTCCAGCAGCCAGAGTCAGGACCCTGCCTGGTTCTTCTGCTTCCCTGGAGAGCACAGAGCAGGCAGAGGGTGGGCAGGCTGCGCAGGGACGGCCTGTGACTTGGTCTCCGGGCCTCATGCAGAGAAGCTTCTCTGGCAGCTGGGTTACTGCCCAGTTGATCTCAGATGTGTCTGGAGTTGTCCTGGGAAAGTTTTATTGTGTCCTGTGTTCCCCTCTGTGTCTGGGGCGCATCTTTGCTTGGGGTGGGGGAGAGGTAATTCATTGCCAGAGTGGACAGGTGGCCCCCATGGCAGGCAGAGGGTCAGGGCTGCTGGCTTCTTCTCTAGAAAGGGCCCACAGGACAGGCTGTCTGCTCACGGCACTGTGTTTCCTCCTCTGTGTGTGTGTGTGGGGGGGGGGGGGAGTACACTGGGCACCCCTCTCCTTGTGCAGGTGGGTCATACAGATTAGAGTCTCACTTGGATTGGGGGGGCGGGGCTGCTAGCACAGCAGAGTAACCCCTGACCCTCAGGACCGCATCTTATTGGGCCTACAAGAGAAGTGCCTGTGTGGATAGTTAAGATGGCAAGACCTTCCCAGTGCCCCGGCACCTGCCCAACCACTAAAGATGTGAGCCAAAGAGGAAACTCAGGCAAGGGCACTGCGCCTGCCTCCAGCCATAGGGAGTACAAGGAAGGGCAGGTCTTTGTGTTCCAGGGTAGAACCCGGGGGTCCAGGTGGCACTTGACACTCCCGACAGATCTCATACTCTGATCAGGACCCGTGCTCCAGGGTCTGTAGGCCAGGCCTGGGCGTGAGAAACGATGTGAGACACAGAGAAAGTCAAAGATGGAGCGACAGGGCACACAGACAGACATCTATAAAGTTACTGAGGGAGAGACAGATTGATTTAGAGAGTGAAACGGAGACAAAGGCGGGAGAGCCACACTCTGAGTGCAGGCAAAGAGCATCTTCCTAGATGTCAAAGGAGGAGCCGGCTACTCGGGGAAGACCCGCAGGGCCGGTGTCAATGGCGAGAGCCTCTGCGGCTGCTGGGGCTGGGCCTTCCCTCGCATCCGGCAAATTGGGCCGAGGGCCGGGCGGGGCCGCCTGGGCGCCTAGGTCTGGATGAAGAGGTGGAAGTTGGTGCGCGTGAACTCGCGGTGAATGCTCTCCAGCAGCGCGTCGGCGTCGGCGTCGGCGTCGGTGGCGGGCGGGGGCGCGCCCGGCGGGACGGGCCGCGCGCTGTATTCGGGGGTGTAGGTGAAGGAGAAGGCGCTGGGGTAGAAGAGGCCGTCGGCGCGCACCAGGCTCACCGCCACCGTGATGGGTGTGCGCAGCCAGCGCCAGTCGCTGCCGAAGGCGGCCACCACGGGCACCACGCACACCAGGGACCGCGGGCTCCTGGGGCGGGGCGGGGGGGGGGGGGTAGGGCTGCGGTGACATCCGGGAGGGCTGATGACAAGCACCCTCCTCTCCCCTTCCCGGGGCCCAAGGAGGCTCCCCCGCTCATACCTGTACATGGTCTCGGCCTCCACGTCCCCGAACCACACCTTGAGCCCCGCGTGGAAGTTCTCACCGTGGAGCTCCAGCGTGGCCACGTCACCCCCGCCACTCAGCTGGGAGAGGGGGGACCGGGAGGTGTGGGGGAAGGGGTGGCCACAGGCCTGCTGCCCTCCCTCCCAGCGCCTCATCCGCCAGCGCAGGCAGCCCGCCAGAGTCCCCTTACCCGCCCTCCCCCCCCCCCCCCCCAATTCACCTCGAGGGTGCTGATGAGGGGCACCGGGGTGACCGGCTCCCGGGTGCACGCCAGGCTGGTGCTGAAGGAGAATTCCACCGACTCGGTGCCTATGATGGTCCAGCAAGAGCTGTCGTTGAGCAACGCCCTATTCGCCTCCTTGGGGCAGGGGGAGGCCTGAGCGGAGACGCGAGGGGAGGGGCGGGAGCTCTGGTTGGCGGGGCCTGGGCTTCCGCGTTCTGGGTTCCAGCCCCAGGCGCTGCGGTTTACCTGCCCTTGGAGCTTGGACAAGGGCCCTCAGTTCTCCCAGAGTTAAATAAGTTCGCTGGGTGAACTGCCTTCTGAAGGCCTATTTTGTTAGGATTCTAGAATTCTATGTTTAACGCTGCAATGCTGTGCCCTAACATTCTACAGCTCTATGACTTACAATCTTATGATTCGAATGGACTTTGCTCAATAATACTCAATACTCTTATTTGTTGTTTTTACTTACAGTCTACAATTTTATATTCCAACCATCTATGACTCTAATAGTCTTTGGGAAGGAGTACTGCTCAGTAATATTATTTTTTTTACACATTCTCTGATTCTGTCTCCATAGTCTCTGGCTCTGGCATTCCCTGGGAGGAAGTAGAGCTCATTATGACGATGGTGGTCTTACATGCTGTGTGTGGTTCTCTGAATTCTGACTTTCTAAGATGCTTGGTGCTGATAATCTCTACTCCTCACCTGGAACTGCACCACCTTCTCTGTGGCAAGACACAGGTAGGTGCCGCCGCCTCCAGGAGGGCCCCCAGGAAACTGGAGTGCACACTTGTGCAGCTGGGAGATGGGCTCGTCCACGTCGAGGAGTGCACACTGTTTGGCTACTTTGCGGATGATCTACAACAAAAAGGTGACAGGAAGTGTGACAGCCAGATGCTTGGGTGCCGGATGCCACCCTCCCAGCCAGCTTTCTGCTACTCCAATAGCCAAGTGGGCACTGGCGGACCCCCCCCCCCCCCCGCCCCATGCCAGCCCTTTGCCTCTATCCAGCCCCACAAAGCCCTGAGTATCCTGGGTGAGAACTGAATAGGTGTCTTTCTGCCCCAGGCCCTCACCCTCCAGCCCTGCCCACGTGGGTCGCCCTCTGCGTGGGTCTGGAGACTCTCCCTTCCCTTACCATTGGAGGTAGGGTGATGCCCGTGACAGTGCAGACCAGCTGCACCAGGGAGCCATAGCGGACATAGCCCTCTCGAGGTGGGAAGTCCCCCTGGGAGGACTGGTCATCAGCTGGGGGGTGAGGGGGGAAAGGGAGGAAGAGGAGGATCTCAGAGTGCCCCAAGCTTCTGCTCCAAGCCCTGCCCGTCTCGCCTCTGGCTCCACCTCATTCGCAGGCGGGTCTTGTGGGTATGGTTGGAGATTCTCCTCCTGGGGGGGTCATTGGTGGCCATCCTCGCCAGTGTCTGACCCCTGGGGCGGGCTGAGTGAGGGCCTGGGCTGGACACTGGAGTCAGGGGCTTGGGTCCTCACTGGGACCCCTGGCAAGTCTTTTTGTGTTTCAAAGCCTCAGTTCCAAGGGCGGAGCTTACCTTCCTTGAAGGGTTGTGGTGAAGATCAAAGAAGCGAATGAATGCAAGTGCCCAGCCCCTGCCCGCTGGTGTAATTACCCAGGTGGAGGGTGAAGGCAGCCCACTGGCGCGCACTGGCCACGAAGGCCCCGTCCTCCACGGAGAGGTAGCGCGTGGAGACCGTCTGGGAGCGCAGGCGGTTGAAGAGGGAGACCTTGGAGCCCGAGGATATGCACACTGAGAGGGGAGGTGGAATCAGTGCCCTGGCCTGGCTGGGTCCCTTGGACATGCCAGACACATCTGGTCTGTCCCCTGTGCCCATTTGACTCATATGCCCACCAGCCTAGACACAGTGGACATTCATATTTCACAGCTGCTTATCCAGTACCTGCCTTAGTCCTGCTTCTGCACTTGCGCCTGCTCCCTTTTGCTGCCTGGGCATCCTTCAGCTCAACACACAGTTACCAAGTACTCACTAGGTGTGGTGGGCACTGAGCTGGGTGCTGGGCCTCAAAGGGAGAACTAGATCTAGTCTTGCTCTGGAGGAGCTCACGGTCTCAGAGGGAAAACAGGGACATAAATGTAAAATTTCAGTCTGGCGTGTAAGGATGGGGTTAAGGAGGGCTTCCTGGAGGAGGGTATACTCTCAGCTGGGGAGCATGAAGTAGGTAGAAGTGCTTGGGGGGCTGCATAAGCAGAGGCCATGTGGTGTGAAACAGCAGTCCAATGTTTCCAGGGCTTAACATTGATCTCTTCCAGTCTCTCACATAGGAAGAGTCACAATTTGTTTTCTGATTAGATTTTGACCACCTGGGGAGAAAGCCTTGGGTCGTCTCCCTCTCTCCCCTCACAGCGCGAGGCATACTATAGGTGCCCAGTTTGCACTTAGCCCAAGTTCCCATCCACTGAATAATAGCTAAAGTTTGCTGTGGGTCAGGTACTGTTTTCAATGCTTTATAGGTATTAGTTCATTTGAACCTCTCAACAGCCCTCGGAGGTAGATGATATCTCTCCTGAAGAGAGCAACTTGCTGAAGGTCACTGGGCTAGCAAAGGGTAGAGCCAGGATGCAAAGCCAGGCCACCTGGCTCCAGAATCTGCCCTGCACCCATCACACTATAACACCGACTCCTCCCTGGCCCTTTCCTGATACCAAGGGTCAGCCAGAGCACTGCCTGGATCGGAGACCTCCTTCAGGGGTCTTAACAGACAGGAAGTGTGGTGTAGGAGTAAGAGCTGAGCTCCGGAGTCACATTGACACAAGCCCAAATCCTGGCTGGACCACTTCCTAGCTGCCAATCTTGGGCAAGACACCTGGAAGAGGATAGGCCCAAGTTTGTCTCAAATGAATGGATGAACGTTCCAAACCCCATTTTCCTCATCTACAACATGGGAACAGTGACAGTACCTCCCTCACAGGGACACAGTGAGCATCCAGTAGGCTGGTGCGTGGAATGTGTTCCAGGAAAGCTAACCCTCCCTCCCCGCTCCCATCGAGTGTAGTGGTGTCACTGTCATCCAGGCTCCCCCCCTTATAGTCTCAAATCCTCCAGCGCTTGGCTCCCAGGACAGCACTTGTCTCACACTGCCTCTTTGATCCTCTATGCATGCCCCTCTCCCTGCGAGACGCTGTGTTCCTCCAGACAGACACTTGCCCTTGTTTGATAGGGATCCAGCACCCAGCACAGAGCCAGGCATAGAGCAGCCCTGAGTAAATATTTTTTAACTGAATTTCCTTTGTCGTTTTATTGTCACTTTTAATCTGTCTCTAGTTCAGTATCTGCTGGCCGTTTGAAGGCCCCCCAACTACCCCGTCCCTAACTCGCACACTCAAGACGGGTGTCGGTCCCCTCTTCTCTCTGCCCTTGCTTCTCTAACTTATTCCCAGAGCTCAGCGGCACTGGGTCAGCTAGACCGCTCGGGTCAGACCCCGCCTCTTCCACTCTGACCCCACCCCTACAGTCCAGGTCTCCCCCCACCCTCCCAACCCCTCCCACCCATCAGATTTGAGGGCACCTCCCGGCCACGTCTACGATCCAGCCCCGCCCCGCTCACGGTCGGTGTTTTTCAGCGACTGCTTCTTCTGTGAGGGCTTCGAGATGACCTTGATGAGGCGGCTGTGGAAGGTGCCCAGCTCCCGGCCGCCTCGGAGCACTAGCCGCAGCACCAGCCGGAAGTGCTTCCTCTTGTCTGCGTCTGAGATGTACAGGGTCTTGGCGCAACCGAATTCCTAGGGGTTCAGGGCGTGGGGCCGGCTCATCCCAGCTGTCCGCCTCGGGTGAACCTTGCTCCCCCAGTTATCTGACGTCCGCCCCGTCGTGACGGAAGCGGCCTAGTCCAAGCTCTCGGTGCACCCTCCTTGCAGACCCTCGGTGTCCAGGACCCTCCCTACCTGTCGCGTGGCTTCTGCAGAGAAGATGAGCTCTCTTCCCCAAGGAAGAGGCGAGGGTGGGAGCAGGACTGGGACCCCCTCCCATGCACTCACCCTGGAGTCGGGCTGCTCCTCGAAATTTAACTTCTGCGTCTCGGCGGCGCTGCCGGATGCGCCGTCCAGTCCCATGTAACCGCAGACAGTGGGCCCCGGTTCCCCTGCTGGGTGGGCTAGAAAGGGACGCCCGAGGGCTCGGGAGGACTCCGGGTGAACTCAGGTGCCAGGCAAGCCTACTTTCCGCCGCCAGAGGGCGCGGCGAGACTGGGTCTGCGAATCGCCCGGCTCCCAATCCCTACTGCGTGGTCCCCTACCGAGGAAGGCGACCAGTCCTGGGGTCTGTCCTCACCTTGGCCCGGCACTGGCTTCACCCTCCAGCCAGGACCCGCGAGGTACACACAGGGCGGGGGGCAGAAGAACCTGCGGAGACATGTAAGCGTTGAGCTCCTGTATCATCTCCCCTGTTCTGTCTTGTAGGCATCTCAAAGGGAGCAGAAACCTGAAAGAATCCCCTTCCACCTTTCCCACCTCCCTCCCCAGGCTCCTCCAAGACTGTGAACCCCATGAACATCCGAGCCTTCTCCACTCCACCTTTAAAACATACCCAGGACCCACTGGCTTCTTGGCACCTCCACATCTTTATTTGTAAAACCATGAGCCAACCATGTCACTCATCTTCTTAAAACCCTCCAATGGTTTAGACTCAAAGTCCTCATATAACCTGGCCCCTGCTTACTTCTCCAACTTACTTCCTACATCCCCACCCCCTCTCAAACTGCAGCCACGGAACTTCTTTTGTACCTCAAACAGGCCGTGTTGGTACTGCCTCACGGTTTGTGCACTTTCTGTTTCTCCTCATTGGAACACGATTCCCCAGACTCTCTCCTGTCCGGCTCCATTTTCACATTCAAGTCTCAGATCAGACGTTAGCTTGGCCTTTCTAGCAAAAGCACCCTCCCTTCTGTTTCTATCACATTGCACTATCTATTCCCTTCCAGCTTTCGTCGGGATCTTGTTCATTGACTGCGGGGGCTTTATTGTCTGTCTCTTCGACACTAGAATGAAGATGTCATGAGAGCAGGGACTGTATTTGTCTTGTTTAGCTATATGCCCAGTGCCCAGCGGTGCCCAGAGAGCCAGGCACATGGCAAGCACTCAGTTACTAGTTGTTGAATGAAAGTATGAATGAATGGGTGAATGAGTGCATGAATGGAGACTGTAGATTCCCAGGGAGGTTCTGCTAAGACCAAAGTGGGGACTATTGGTGGCTGAAGGAAAAGGCCCATGATCAGCCAATAGCTGAGCCCCAGTCCTCCTCAGGTTCCAAAAGTGCTTAATAGGAGGTGCGCACAGGGCCAAATGCCAAAGTGACCTGGGAGGGGCGGATGAGGCACCTACCGCTTCTCATTTCCGTATGATTTCTGGGCCACCTTGGCGTGCAGGATCCGCACAGTCTGCTCGCACTGCAGCTGCAAGCACCGGCGTACGCCTTCCCTCAGGACAGTGGTGCGCTCTGGGGATGCCCTGGGAGGCCACAGCAGGGAGCAGCAAAGGGTGAGGTGGCATGGAGTTCGAAGCGCACATACGTTGAATGAAATAAAGTTCTAGTGGTGGCCACTCGTGGGCGCATGCAAGTTGTGAGCTAAATATTTGGGCTGTGCGGTTCTCAGTGAGCCCACCGGGACCACCCAGGCACCACTCTGCTGGGCTGGCTCCACGCCTGGAGCATTGCGGAGATGGCCCAGCAGCACAAAGACCCAACTTGTGTTGGCCTTGGGGTGGAGGCAGACTGTGTGAGGGCGCCTGGCTCTCCCTGCACCCTGAGGGGACCCACCCAGGGAAGTCTTGATGCCAGGGGACAGTAGCCTTTGCTGGACCCAGGGAGCAGAGTGCTCTCTTGCCTTCTGGCAGACACCTGCAAAGGCTGAAGGGCCCCAACCCGTGTTCCCAGTATCCTGGGATTGGGGGAGGAGAGCATTTCCATTTTTCCCTGGTCAGAATAACCCTCCCTCCTTCCTCCGCAGAGCAGAGGCCTGTTACTGTCTCAGTTGTACTTTCCTTGATTGCAGGGCCTCCATTGCCATGTGGAGGGGGCCAGGCTGAGCCTAGGGCCTGATGGCTTCTCAGCCTGCGAGTTCTAATGGGTGAGGGTGGGTGGAGGTGGATGAGGGTAGGTGAGGGTGGGTGAGGGTGGGTGAGGGTGGGTGGAGGTGGATGAGGGTGGGTGAAGGTGGATGAGGGTAGGTGAGGGTGGGTGAGAGTGAATGAGGGTGGGTGAGGGAGGGTGAGGGTGGATGAGTGTGGGTGAAGGTGTGTGAGGGTAGGTGAGGGTGGATGAGGGTGGGTGAGGGTGGGTGAGGGTAGGTGAGGGTGGATGAGGGTGGGTGAGGGTGGATGAGGGTGGGTGAAGGTGGATGAGGGTAGGTGAGGGTGGATGAGGGTGGGTGAGGGTGGATGAGGGTGGGTGGAGGTGGATGAGTGTGGGTGAAGGTGTGTGAGGGTAGGTGAGGGTGGATGAGGGTGGGTGAGGGTAGGTGAGGGTGGATGAGGGTGGATGAGGGTGGGTGAGGGTGGATGAGGGTGGATGAGGGTGGGTGAAGGTGGATGAGGGTGGATGAGGGTGGATGAGTGTGGGTGAAGGTGTGTGAGGGTAGGTGAGGGTGGATGAGGGTGGGTGAGGGTGGGTGAGGGTGGGTGAGGGTGGATGAGGGTGGGTGAGGGTGGATGAGGGTGGGTGAGGGTGGGTGGGTGAGGGTGGATGAAGGTGGGTGAGGGTGGGTGCGGGTGGGCGGGCCCAAGACTTAAGAAATTGCAGAGAACGTGTGACGGAGTCCGTGGTGGCAGAGATTTGAGGGACGACCAGTGAGGCCCGGCAGAGCCATGAACCAAGGCTGTTCGGAACCCTTTGCCCTCTTCGCAGGACCCGCGTCCAGGGCCTCTCCTCACCCCTGGAGGGGGCAGCGGAGGGCAGGAGCCGGCCGCGCCCTCGGAAGCGGGGCCAGGCAAATGGCGGCCCGGCCAAGCCCCGCTCCACCCTTGGGGCTCCCCCGGGGAAGTGGCTCGAGGCCTCCAACGCATCCCGCCTGCGGAGGGGCGGCCGCCCAGCCTCCCGCGGCACCGAATTCCGGCCCTGCGGGCCGCGTCGGCGGCTCCCTCGGGGGCTGGAGCCGGGGGCGCCGCTCAGGCCCCGCCCCGCCCTCGGAGCGAGGGGATCGCCCTGCCAGTGGGAGGGTCGCAGCCCGCGCTCCCCTCCCCACCCGCCGCCCGGGTTAAATGCGCCGCCGCCGGCGCCCGCGGCAGCTGCCTGGCTGTCCCCGCCTCGGGCACGCCGCCCGCGCCCTACCTGCTCCAGCTGCCCGCGAGGCCCCGCCCGTCGGCTCCGCTCTGCGGCCGCGCCTCCGAGTCGTCTCGCAGGTTCAGGTGAGTCAGAGGGCCTGGGGGTTCTGCGGGGAGCAGGCCACCAGCCCGACCAGGCGACCGCACTCAGCCGCGGCGGCACCCCTATTGTGCCCGCCCTTGACCCGCAGTGCCCTTCCCACCTCCGTGGGGCCCTTTCCAAGTTGAGTCCACACCAGCAAGTCCACCAAAAAGGGAGGGGACGTTTCCCCTACTCTCCTCCCCTCGGAACCTCCTGGAACCTCCTCAAGGTGCTCGCCCTTCAGCCAGCTCTTGAGGAATTATTCACAGCACTCCTCCCCCTGGGGCCCGCTCTCCCCACCCGAAAGGCATCTCCAAATCGTTCATTTTAACCCAGGACTGAGTCACCCCTCCAAGGAGCTCTGGGTTCTAGCTCAGCCTTGTCACCACGTTGCTGTGTGGCTTTGGGAGAGACACCAGTGTCTCTGGACCTAGTTCCTTCCTTTGTGGAAGGAGGGGGTTGGAAAGGTGATGAACTTGGCGGCAGCGCTGTTTTGATTTTCTAGGGCTCCTGGGCCACAGTAGGATGCCAGGTGAGGTGTTTGCTCACGCCAAGAGCAGGATAAGGGCGGCCTGAATCAAGACTGGGTTTAGAGCCTGGAGGCTTCTGAAAGTAGGAAAGGATGGGAGGTGGCAAAAGCCTCTTGTGCCTTTAAAACGCCCCTGCTCTGGGGGGTGGGGAGGCGGGATGCTGGCCTCAGCTGTGGCCCAAGCTAGAGAAAGCATTCCACGCTTTCCCACCTCCAGCAGCTGGCACATCTGGCTTAGTCACCCTCCGTGACGGTCTCTGCCAGACGGATTTTTGTTCCTCCACCGGCCTGAAGGCGGAGGCGGAGAGGATCCGGGACGGGAAGCCGCCTGGAGTGAGCGGCGGCACCGACCTTGCTCAGAATAGGCCCATTCACGGACTGGGGGAAGGGGCGGGGCTGCGGTTGGGTTAGGGGCGGCTGGCCCCCCTACCAAGAGACAGCAATACCGGGGCGCGGGAGAGGGTAGAGAGCAGAGGGAGTGAATGCAAAGAAAAGAGGTCCAGTGGCTCCTAGACACCAGGTTGCCAGGCAACTCAAAAGGAAGAAGGGGAACAAGGAGTCCCAGGTTCCTTTGCAGCTCCGCGGGCAGCCTTCTTGGGCCTCATTTTCCCCATCTGTACAATGGGAGTCTTTCTCGTGTTGCTCGAAGGGCCTCGGGAGGGTAAACGCTCACCTGCTGCCCCCACAGGGTCCATGGCCGCGTTCTGCTCCCTCACAGCCCTCCGGGTGCGCCCGTGCCGCCGCCCTCAGAACCCTGCGCGCGCCTGCTCCCCGGCCCTCATGCCGGATATAGCCTACCCCCGCCTTATCTCAAGGCCCCGGGCTCCCGGCCCGCTGTTTGCTCTGGGCAGGGGCACCTGCCGGGCAGATGTGGGCTTCCCACGGCCACCGAGCCAACGAAGCCAGGCCCGGGAGGCGCCCCCTGGCGGCTTCTCCTGAGAGCTGGAGGGGAGTCAGGCACTAAGCCTGGAGTTCAAGTGCGCGGTGGGTTTTGGCCACGCAGTGCCCGCCCCTTACTCTCTCAACCGGAGCGCTCAGCGCTCCCGGAGGCCTGCGGTGGCGCGGTGTGTGGCTGAGTGTGTGAGCGTGTGTGTGTGTGTGTGTGTGTGTGTGTGTGTGTGAGTGTGCGTGCGTGATTGTGCGTGTGAGCGCGCGTGTGTGTGAGCGAGATTGTGTGTGTGTGCGCGCGCGTGTGATTGTGTGTATGAGTGTGTGAGTGTGTGTGTGAGCGTGTGTGTGTGTGAGCGTGTGTGTGTGTGGTGTGTGTGTGAAGGACAGCCACACAGAGGCGCCTTGTACAGGGAGGGGAAGGGGACCCGCGGGGGGAATGGCTTCCTTCTGCAGAGGTTTTCCTCCCCGGGAAGCGAGGGCGTGGAACACGTCGCTACCAGTCCCCTGGGTGTAGGATTGTCTCCCGGCGCAGCCACTTTCTTGTGAGACTGGGTTCCGGCGCTCAAATTCTTTGAGCCTGTTTCCTAATCTGTACAATGGAACAGAAACAGCGTGTCTCAGAATTGTTGAGAGGGCTACATGCCACAATGCGTGAGAAGCGGTTAACATTGTGCCTGGCACAAGGAATTCAGCAATCTCACTGTAACGAAAATTAATTATTGTGAAAAGATACACGAAAGTAGAGAGATTAGTAAAATAAACCCAGGACCCTCCTACACCTCCAAGTGCCCCTCACCCAGAATGAGGGTTCTGCAGATACTATTGTTTTGCCATTTCCTTTCCTCCCTCCAGGCTCTGACACCCCGTTTCCTGTCCCCCAAGTGCCATGAGGGGCCTCCCATGCTCACCACTGCCCATATTGCTGCTCCTTCTCCAGCCCTGGGAAACCCAGCTCCAGTTCCAAGGTGAGCAGGGGCCCAGTCCTGACAGCGAGGGGAGAGGGACAGAAGCAGGTTTTCTGTCTGCAGCCAGCTAGGCCTGCTGGGAGAGAAAAGCCAGACTTTGGAGCGCCTCCCCCCCCCCCCCCCCCACACACACACACCGCAGGCTGGGTTTGAATTCACCCTTTCACCTCTCTGGGCCTCAGTCTCCTCATCTGCAGGATGCGGCTTAGAGATAACAAGATTGGGCTCATGCAGAATGCCCATTTGGTGTTAAATTTTTCAGAGCTAATTGAAAAAAATCAAGAGATTTCACATAAAAATCCGTATTTGGGACTTCCCTTTAAAAATCCGAAGATCTGCTAACACAGATCTGCATGGCTGCATGCAATTTTGGCTGCAGCTGCCCATTCTAGGAGGGATACGGGCTCTCTGGGTGCCCGCCATCCTACCCCACCGGCTCACTCATTTATGTTGCCCGCCTGGCTCCTACAGGCATTTGAGTTGCGACGTTCCCTCTCCCTCTCCCAAAGGGGTAATGCCTCCTCGAAATGGCCCTCAGAGCTGTCGGATAGAGGACTGGTGAAATCTCCCGGCCCAGGCCCTCACACATGCTGGGCGAGTGAAGGCATCTACCGTGCAGTTGCCAGGGTAGTTAAGTGTGGGCGCTGTTATGCAGGGAGGGTGCCATTCCGCCCTGGTTTTCCCTGGGGATCTCCTCGGAAAGGAGGCTTCGCTGACCTAGAAAAGTCCTTCCTGGTCTCCTCGCAGGTCCCAGGTGCCGCACTGGACCCCTGGACTTGGTGTTTGTGATTGACAGCTCGCGCAGCGTGCGCCCCTTCGAGTTCGAGACCATGCGGCAGTTCCTGGTGGGCCTCCTCCGCCGCTTGGACGTGGGGCCCAACGCCACGCGCGTCGGCGTGATCCAGTATTCGAGTCAAGTGCAGAGCGTCTTCCGGCTCGGAGCCTTCTCGCGCCGCGAGGACATGGAGCGCGCCATCCGCGCTTTGGTGCCCCTGGCGCAGGGCACCATGACGGGGCTGGCCATCCAATACGCCATGAATGTGGCCTTCAGCGTGGCCGAAGGCGCGCGCCCGCTGGAGGCGCGCGTGCCGCGAGTCGCTGTGATCGTGACCGACGGGCGGCCCCAGGATCGGGTGGCGGAGGTGGCGGCGCAGGCGCGCGCCCGCGGCATCGAGATCTATGCGGTGGGGGTGCAGCGCGCCGACGTGGGCTCCCTGCGCGCCATGGCCTCGCCCCCTCTGGACGAGCACGTCTTCCTGGTTGAGTCCTTCGACCTGATCCAGGAGTTTGGCCTGCAGTTCCAGGGCCGGCTGTGTGGTGAGTTGGGGAGCGCTGGAGCGAGGCTCAATGTGCCTCCATTCCCATTCCTGCCCCAGTGCCCCCCCCCCCTCCCAGGCGGGGCCCCGCCCACCAGAGAGCGGAGGCGCCCAAGGCCTCACGCAGCCGCGCAGCCACGCTGTGTCACAGGCCAGCTCTGGCCACTTTTGCTTCGGCTTCACCCACCAGGAGCAACGTTTGGCGCACTCTCCAAGTAGGATGAGCTGTGGTTTACCACAGGCTTCATGTCCAACTCCAACACCGCCCCTCAGCACTGGAAGCGCCGCCCCTCAAAGATGAGGGCCCAGTACCCACTCCAAAGAGTCATGTCTCGCCCACACAGGCATGGCCCCGCCTGCTCGCACCTTAGCTCCTCCTCCAAGCTGATAGAGCTGTTTGCGTCACACCTGGGTGACTCCGCCCACCTGGATTCAGCGCCTCTCCGCCTCTACCTGCATAGTCCTGCCCCAGCCCATTACACAGATAGCCCAGCCTCCCTCTTCTGAGCCTATTCACAGGGGCTGTGAACAGGCCCTGTTCTTTCCCGAAGCCTTCCTTCCCACTCAGATCGGCCCTTCTCGAGTGAATCATATCCCACCTAAGTCCAAACCTGATCATGGTTCCTGCCTTTGACCCCGCCCAGCTGTCTCCTGTTGGAGGGTTCTGCCCATCTGCCCCCTGCTGTTCTACTCTTGTGTGTCCTCAGGAAAGAACCTGTGTGCTGAGGGGGGACACGGCTGCCAGCACCAATGTGTCAGCTCCCCTGGCACCTTCTACTGCACCTGCAACCCCGGCTACCAGCTAGCTGCAGATCACAAGGGCTGTTTGGGTGAGAACTATTCCCGCCCTGCCATCCTGAGCCTTCCGAGCCCCCCCTGTCCCCCCCCCCCCCCCCCCCCATTGCCCCAGCATCAGCCCAATGCGTTTGGAAAGGTCTTTGAGTCTGTAGGCTGACGCTCTATCCACTGAGCCAAACCGGTCAGGGCTTGGAAAGGTCTTTGGAAGTAAAGTCTAGCTCCCTCGCTTTATAGTTCTGAGAAAGGGAAGGCATGCCTGGAGCCACACAAGTCCTTGATGTGACCACAGCTAGAAACCGTGACCCCGCAATTAAGTGTGCTTTTTGCATCCTCCCGTCTCCTGCCTGGCTCCAATACACCTCCCAAATGTGTTTGTGTCTTCTCACAGGCACGTCTTTACAGTTTCTGTAACTTAGACACTGTTGGAGTCTTCACTTATGGTCTCCATACACCACCTCCCCTGCCACGTACATGCTGTCATTCCTGCTTCTGCATCTCACCTGGGCTGCTCACCTGGGCTCTCTTCCTGCTCCTCCCTGCACCTGCAAATCTTTCAAGGCCGGGTTCTTTATTTTTGCCTCCGGAAAAGCCACGACACACAATGCCTTTGCTTGTACAATTGGGACTTTCTTTTTCATATGTATCTGTGTCCCTTCCTTTCATCTTAATGACAGATACCATGTGCTGAGTGCCAAGTTAATATCAGACATTGTGCTTGGAGCACTGCATACATTATCTCCCAACCTCACCACAACCTGGAAAATGAGGTCATGTGATCCCCATAATGTCCGCTGGGGGTTTCTTGTTTCTAGAACTTTAACAAAACTGGTTTGAAATCCCATGTGATGACCCATGAACATCCCAACCCCCCCCCCCCTGCCCCCCAGATCTCCGGGAATTCCCCAAGTGCTTACATTCTGTGGCCCCCTCTCACTCTGAGCTTCTGCAGAATTCAATCAGTTTTTGGATCCTCTCTCAATTTCTCAACCCCACACATGCTGTCCTTGTTCCATGTGCATAAATCAGCCTCTTCCTTGGTTCACACACTTGTGCACACAACAACATGTGTGTGTACTTGTAAGTGCGTGCATATGCCCATTTCACTAAAGATGGGGTGGACACAGGTGTGAATTACATCTCAGTAAAGCCAAACATACCAGTACACACACCAAAGGAAACATCCTTTTTCAAAAATCTTTATTGCTGAAAGTATTACAGATGTCCCCTGAAACATCCATTTTATAAATAATTGAATACTAAGCACCCTTGACCCTGAAAGCCCTTGGTCACCCACTGCAAGGGATTTTTTTACTGGCATTCTCAACCCACACAGCCACTCATCTTCACACCATTTGTCTTGTTCTTCTTCTTCCTCTCTCCACTTCCCCCTCTTTTCTAGAAACCCCAAATTCTCACTTTTTTTTTTATGCAGGATAACTCACCTCTCTCCAGCCCTTATTCCCCAGTGCAGCACCAGGCCATCTTTGCACATCTAAGCCATCAAGATACGCAGCAGGGCAATAGCTCACCTTCCCCAGAAGGAAATTGTAAATAGCAATGGCTCTCTTCCATTGTTTCCTCATTTTGCAGGTGGGGAAATGGAGGCTCAGATGGGTGAAGTGGCAGGATCTAGTCCTCCTGCATTAGTCAGTGAGCATCTTCAGGGCAGGGGCCCTGTCTTCCACAGCTGTGGATTCTCGGTCTTAATCCTGGCTTAGTAAGGCACACTCCGGGATGCATCTGGGTCTTGAGCTGGTAGGGCCACCTGGCCCAGAGCAAGGAGGCCTGTGCATATAGGAATCACAGATGCCTGGTTACCACCCCAGGTTAATTAAATCAGGATAGTTGGGAATTGCAGTACAGGCATCAGAGAAGTAGGGAAAAGGATAGAGAGATAGAAACATCAGTGATGAGAGAGAATCATTGATCAGCTGCCTCCTGCACATCCCACACTGGAAATCAAGCCTGCAACCTGGGCATGTGCCCTGACCGTGAATCGACCTCCTGGTTCATAGGGTGACACTCAGCCACTGAGCCGTGCCAGCTGGTTGGGGCGTGGGTATTTTTTAAAAGCTGTGCTGTCATGGCTGAGAAGTGCAGCCCCCAAAGTATATGCCAGCCTCCCCTCTTCCTCAGCCATTGACCTGTGCACTGAAGAAACGCATGGCTGTGAGCACCACTGTGTCAGTTCCCCAGGTTCCTATTTCTGTTGACTCAGAGCTGGCTTTGTACTCCAGCAGGACCAGAGGAGCTGCAGGGTTGAGCGACACCCCCCCTGCCCGCCCCCCTCACACACATTAGTACCCTGGATTGAGGTCTCTAATGGCTCCAATCAGAAGCGATATCTTACTGCCTTTCCCTTCCCACCAGTCATTGATCACTGCAGCTTTGGGAACCACAGCTGCCAGCATGAGTGTGTTAGCACCCTTGGTGGGCCAAGGTGCCGCTGCAGAGAAGGCCACGAGTTGCTACCTGATGGGAGGAGCTGTCATGGTGAGGAGGGGTCTCCTGCCATGTGCAGAGGGGCAAAGGGTCTTAGCTAGTGGAATCCACCCTGACTTAACCCGACCTGTCTCTCCTTTCAGCTCGGGACCTTTGCAATGGCATAGACCATGGGTGTGAGTTCCAGTGTGTGAGTGACGGCCTCACCTACCGCTGCCTGTGCCCTGATGGACGGCAACTCCAGGCAGATGGCAAGAGCTGCAACCGTGAGTTATGGGTGGGAGGGGACACTGTCTGTCCCTGCCCCACTGCTCATGTTCTGAGCACCCTTGACTTTGGTGTGGGTGTGGTGTGAATGTGTGAGTGTAGGTGGTGGTGATGGCATTGGAGGGTGTGCCCTGCCCTGCCTCTATCTCTTTCTCTTCAATTCTTTACCCTGTTGCCATTTTTTTTAATTGATTTTAGAGAGAGTGATAGAAACATCAATGATGAGAGAGAATTATTGATTGGCTGCCTCCTGCATGCCCTGTACTAGGGATCGAGCCCACAACCCAGGCATGTGCCCTGACTAGGAATGGAATGGTGACCTCCTGGTACATTGATCGACCCTCAAGCACTGAGCAACACTGGCCAGCCAAGATTAATTTTTTAAAAATACATACATGGGTGGGCAAAAGTAAGATTACACTTGTGAGTACGTGAAACACAAAGTTTATTTTTGTATTATTGTTTGTTGATTATTTATTATTTTCCATACAAACAACTATAACCTACTTTTGCCCACTCCTGTATTTGATCACATTCTTCCCTCGCTCAAAAGCCATCTGTGGCTCACCAGTGCCTACAGAATAAAGATCAAATGCCTTACCCTTGAATTTTTCAAATGGGGAGTACAACCACATTCGTGGATAATGAAATCAAATTAGGGAGTTACAACCAATATTAACATGAAAGAAAGAAAAAATAGAGTTTACAGCATGTAGAAAGAATAAATATTTCATGAAACGTAATTTTAATTGAGCATATGTAGTACATCATGATGTATTATTATGGTTGTTGTTGTTTTTACTGTGGGTTGTGGTCACATTTTTGAAACGACTGCCTTAGCTCATCACAGTCTAGCTTCAGCCAACCCCATAAGCCTGTCTCCTACCACATTTGAACACTTTAGCCAGACTGGCCTGTCTATCCCCAAATATGTCAAGAACTTCCATGCCTGGGCATATTCTGCCCCCGCCATCTAGAATGTCCCTCCATGCCTTGGAGAAGTCCCACTCTTCTTTGAAGACCAAGTCAACTGTCACCACCTCCATGCAGCCTTCCTCACCAAGTCCAGGAAGAGTGAATTATTCTTACCTCAGGCTCTCTGCTGTAACATAGGGCACGTCTGACTGCTCTGCTCTGTCCTAATTTCCTTATGGACCAGGATTATGTTACATTTATTGTTGAAATACCTTCAGGACTAGCAAAGTCCCTGGCTCAGAACAGGGGAGTCAACATTACAGAGTGCTTAGGAGCATGGGTTTGGGGCCAGACAGACCTAGTTTCAAACCCTGGCTATGGAATCCAGAGCAAAACACTTTATACTTCAGAACCTGGAGTTACAGAAAATGGGGATAATCCCCAAGGTTATTGGGAAGATTGAGAAACAACATATAAAGCTCCTAGCCCAGTGCCTGACACACAGTAAGCATCGTCATGTATGATGTCAAATAATAATGTTTTTGTTTTTATTTTGTATTGTTAATACTGGTAAAGTGTTTAGGATTCTGTCTGGTACATAGCAGATGATCAATAAAGACTAACGATTGTAGTTGTGGGTATTATTATTATTATTGTTATTGTTAAGATGCTTTCAGCATATTGCCTGGTTTGTTGTGCTCAGCGCTCAATAAATGGCAAAGGTTGTAATGATGCTGATAATAATAATAACAATACATCATGCCAGTGCCTGGCCCCGGAAGGCCTTCACACATGGTGTCTGTTATAGAATGAATGAGTGACGAGCTGGGTAGATGGCTGCTGCCAGCCAAGATTCTGCTCCTCCATCCAAGACCTTCTCCTCACTGCCTAGGGTGCCGGGAGGGCCACGTGGATCTGGTTCTGCTGGTCGATGGCTCCAAGAGCGTGCGCCCTCAGAACTTCGAGCTGGTGAAGCGTTTTGTGAACCAGATCGTGGACTTCCTGGACGTGTCCCCCGAGGGCACGCGCGTGGGGATGGTGCAGTTCTCCAGCCGAGTGCGCACAGAGTTCCCTCTGGGCCGCTATGGCACCACGGCCGAGGTGAAGCAGGCGGTCCTGGCTGTGGAGTACATGGAGCGCGGTACCATGACTGGGCTGGCGCTGCGCCACATGGTGGAACACAGCTTCTCCGAGGCCCAGGGCGCACGGCCCCGCGTCCTCAATGTACCTCGCGTGGGCCTGGTCTTCACCGATGGCCGCTCCCAGGATGACATCTCAGTGTGGGCTGCGCGCGCCAAGGAGGAAGGTGGGCTTGGCGCGAGGCGCGCTGGCGTGGGGTTGGGTTGGACGCGGGGAGGTGACTTTCCTGAGGTGTAGGGCGCCCCCTGTACCCTCCGTAGGCATCGTCATGTACGCCGTGGGCGTGGGCAAGGCGGTGGAGGAGGAGCTGCGCCAGATCGCCTCCGAGCCCGCAGAGCTGCACGTGTCCTACTCCCCTGACTTCAGCACCATGACGCACCTGCTGGAGAACCTCAAAGGCAGCATCTGCCCGGGTGAGCACGTCTGGCTCGGCCCCTCCCCTTCTCTCTTTGCCTAACCTCTGATATCTCCCCTTACTGTTCACCCCCATCCCCTCCTAGAGTTACAGCCAGGGCGTGGGCCTCACTAGACAGAGCCTTGTTACTCGAAGTGTGGCCCGGGACCAGCAGCAGGGCCCTCGCTGGGTAGCTTGTTAGAACAGCATTTCCAACTCTCTCCAGGCCACATGAATTAGATTTTGCACTTGAACCAAATACGTTTGTATGTATGTTAAAGTTTAAGAAGCACTAGACTAGGCTAGACCTGTCCCCCAAACTAGTGGGTGTTCAGAATGATTGGGGCAAATTTCTCAGAGGAATGCCAACCAGCGTTTCTATAGTTCATTAACTTGGAATTCAATTGTACAGACTTGGCAAAGTGGCAGGATGGAGTGTTTCAAGTACACAAAGCTATGTATTTTCGTTTGAACAATGTAGCCCATAAATGCAATCTGTACTTCATGGTGTTCAGCTGAAAAAATGCTGTGAAGGAGGAGAAGAGAGCTGTTGAACCTTGTGAACTGTACTTTAGAGGCTATACAGGGGATTTTGGGGGTAGCTTTTACCATAGAGTCTTTAGACTCTAACCCAGGCCTAAGATGTGACTCTTCTTTCAGATTTCCAGGCCCTACCTCCAGAGCGAGGTTCAGGAGAGCTAGGCTGGGCCTAGGGAATCTCTCTTTCTCTCTCTCTCTCTCTTTCTCTCTCTCTCTCTCTCTCTCCCTCTCTCTCTCTCACACAGAACTGCATGGGTCCACTTATATGTGGATAAAATGTATGCCTGTAAGTAGACTCGCTCAGTTCAAATCCATGTTGTTCATAGGTCAACGAATCCGCATATGCAGAGGGCTGACTTAAGTGATCTGCAGATTTTCAGCTATGCAGTGGGTCAGAGTTTCTAATCCTTGCTTTGTTCAAGGGTCAGCTGTATATACATACATATAGGTGGATACATATGTATATGTGTGTATGTGTATGTATATGCATATACACATGCACACATACACCCCCAGGCTAATTCTAATAATTAGCCAGCACATTGGGGAGGCACCGGATAGCTGCTCCTTCAGGGCCCTTCCTGTCCTGGCTCTCATGTCCCACACAGTGTAACATTGGATAAGACACTTAATCCCCACCCATTCCTCAACTTCCCTTCTGTAACAGGGGAGGGTGCTGGCTACCCAAGGTTGCCTCCAGCTCTAGAATCCTAAGAGAAATCTGGGATCTGGAGTTGAGGCCCTTCACCACTTGGCTGTATGACTTTGGGCAGATCCTCCCCACCCCACCTGGATTTCCTCATCTGCAAAGTTAGGAGTCTTTGTGGGACAGTCACCAAGGCCATTAATGGATGACATACAGCAGTTTGCTAAGGATGCATACAAGACTAAGAAGTAACCTTTAAAATCATAACAGCAATTCTTTATTGGAGGCCCAGGCATTGTGCTGTCATTAAAAATGCCACATGTTTACAGAATGTCAATGAATCCAAGGTACCATCCTTTGTCAAATTCACCATTATTTTCTATGTAGCTAAGAAAAATGGGGGCCAAATTTAATTATAAGGCACTTATTGCGTCAGACTCACCTAGAGGTTCAGTTAAAACACAGATTGCTGGGCTCCAACTGCAGTGTTTCTGATCCAGGTAGAGCCTGATAATTTGCATTTCTAATAACTTCCCAGATGATGCTGATGCTTCCTGTCCCGGGACACTTGGAGAACCGCTGGTCTAGTTGAAATACTCTGTCAGGTATTTACTGTGTCAGGCAGTGCTCTGGATCTGCGCTCCCAATAAGGTAGCCACCAGGGACATGTGCCCACTTAATTTAAATTAATTACAATTAAAGTAAAAAATTAGTTCTGTAGTCACACAAAGCCATATTTCAGGTGTTAAATAGCCACACGTGGCTTGTGGCCACCACACAGGACAGGGCAGATATGGAACATGTCATCACTGCATAAAGTTTCACTTGGAGAGTGCGGCTGTGAACTCTTGCCACTATTTTATTTTAACAAGATCTCCGGGTGATTCTGAGCATCGAGTTTTGAGAAACACTCTTCTAAGGTGTGTATACACACACACAAATGATAGAATCCTCAGTACCAGCCAATGAATAGATTTCCTCGTATCCTTTTTTACAGATGGGGAAACGAGGCTTAGAAAGGTTGAGTGAGGTTTCCAATATCTCACAGCTACTAGTATGTAGCTGGACTCATCCCAGGTCTGTTTGAACCCAAGGCCCATACACTCAACCACAGGCTGGGTGGAGGCAGAGCACAGGGCCTTGGCCAGGGACCCCTGGTCCTGCAGATTCTCATTCCCCTGACTCTCTGTCCCTGGCTGGCAGAGGAGGGCATCAGCGCCGGGACAGAGCTTCGGAGTCCCTGTGAGTGCGAAAGCCTCGTGGAGTTCCAGGGCCGCACGCTGGGGGCGCTCGAGAGTCTCACTCAGAACCATATCCTTTGAGTTGGGGGCGCCGGCTGGAGTGAAGGCGACGGGACCCCCTCGATCCCCGCCGGTTTCCTTAACCGCTCACTCGCCCAGCTGACGGCGCGCCTGGAGGATCTGGAGAACCAGCTGGCCACCCATATGTGAGGCCCGCGGTGGCCCGGACCGGGCAGGGGTGAGGCCCCAAGGACAATGCCCCCTCTTGAGCCATCGGGGCGCCAGGGCGGGACTGAGCCTGAGCCCCTTGGGCTCGGACTGTCGGGGACCAGGGGCTGGCGGGTTCCCAGCGCTGAGCTGGCCTCGCCCGGATCACAAGCCTGACTGCGGAGGCCGGGGACGCGTGCTGGGTCCGCACGCTCTGCCGCTTGCTTCTCTGCTCTCAGTTCTTTGTTGGATTTCTTTTTTTGTTTGCTTGTTTTCTTTTTCTTAAAAAAAAAATCTGGTTTCCTCGGGGTCGGTTTGTGGGTCTTGCTACGCCGCCAGGGGGAGGGGAGGCCAGACGGAGCGCGCTCCTGCGGCGCCCGAGTGGCGTCTCCTCCGAGAAAGGCGCATTGTGCGGGGGTCGGGCTGGGGGGCAGGGGCCTGGGCACCGCTTCCCCCTCCTTGTTTATTCAGCCAGAACAGACGGCTCCTTCTGCCGGCTGCGGGAAGGGAGGGGCCTCCAGGGGAACCCCTGGGGTCTGCGCAAGTCTGCGCCCCCTCCATTCCGCAGCGGGTCAAACGCTTCGCTCTCTGGCCATACCTATCTCGTGGTGCCCCCAAACCTGACGGAAAAGCTGTTGGAACTGGGCGGGGAGTTGGCGAGGAAGCAGGAGGCAGTAACTGAGCCCCTAAATGGACGGGGTGGGGGCGGAGAGGTGAGTTTCGCCTGGATTTCATCTCCCTCCTGCATTAGGTAGGAAGAAGAGAGGGTATCAGCCAGGACCTCGGCGCAGAGCAGGCCTCAGCCTGCCCAGCCTGTGCCCCACACTCTCTGCCTCTGCTCCTTAAACAAACAAACAAACAAACAAACAAACCACAAAAACAACAACCCTAAAACCAGCCCTCTGTGGTACAGAGCACAGACCAGTACCATTTTCCAAGTGCATGTAAGAAAATGCAAAGATTAAAATGCTTCCAGTCCTAGAGTGATTGTCGCAAATTACTCTTTGTTCCCATGTCTGTCAATGGGGATTGAAATTGTTACCCCCAAGAGTGATGGTGAGAACTGAGGAAATATTCTAAGGCATCTGGCATTGTGCCTGGCACAATGAATGCCTCTCAATCAATGGTAGCTATTAATTATTCTTATAATGTCAGCTAACGCGCTTAGTCCTGAGCACTATTCTAAGTGATTTGCAGGTACTGGCATTTTATCCTCACAAAAACCTTGTGAGGTAGGAATTATTGCCTTTATCACCCCCATTTTGCAGACCTTCCAGCCAAGCCTTACCCTGTGGCTGGAATTTCGGTAGGATTTCCAGCCAAAGAGGATTTCACAGGTGAATGAAGCATGAACGTGTGTGGTTAGGAGTGACTGGAGTATGTGGGGACGGAATAATTGATGACTGAGATCTTACATGGACTTGAGGGGCTAAAGTGCTAAACCACAGCGCCTGACTTATGACTTTATCTGCCCCAAACCTTTATTTTACAGTTGGGGAACCAGGCCTAGAGGGCAGAGTTGCCTGCTCAAGATCACGCAGTGAGAGAAACCCACTTGGGTCAGGCAGCAGCCTAGGGGGGTCTGATTGGATTGAGGACGCCAACTGATGGGGTGGCCAGGAGCGCAAAGCTCCCTCCTTTGGCGATGGCTAGGACCGCCTTCTCTGGGGTTTTTCTCATCTGCTCTTTTGTCCTGCAATTTCTTCAATAGCCATTGGATGGCGCCTGAAGCTCTGATTTGGAGTTGAGTCCCAAATCAGACACTTGGCATCTGGCACTTGGACTAAGCTTAGAGCCAGGCCAGCCCTTCTTCTTCTTCTTCTTTTTTTTTTTTAAAATATATTTTATTGATTTTTTTTAAAATATATATTTTATTGATTTTTTACAGAGAGGAAGGGAGAGAGAGATAGAGAGTTAGAAACATCGATGAGAGAGAAACATCGATCAGCTGCCTCCTGCACTTCTCCTACTGGGGATATGCCCGCAACCCAGGTACATGCCCCTGACCGGAATCGAACCTGGGACCCTTCAGTCCGCAGGCCGACGCTCTATCCACTGAGCCAAATCGGTTTTGGCTATTTTATTGATTTTTTACAGAGAGGAAGGGAGAGGGATAGATAGAAACATTGATGAGAGAGAAACATCAATCAGCTGCCTCCTGGACACCCCCTACTGGGGATGTGCCCACAACCAAGGTTCATGCCTTTGACCAGAATCGAACCTGGGACCCTTCAGTCTGCAGACCAACGCTCTATCCACTGAGCCAAACAGGTCAGGGCCAAGCCAGCCCTTCTCCATAAAGCCTTCTTCCCGGTTCAGACCCCTCCCCGACTCTGGCCCACCCACCACCCCAGGCTGGAGGCTGCTTCTGTTCCGTAGGTATTGAGCACACACTCCTGGATTTGCAGACCAACCCCACTGCTTACCAGCTCTGTATCCTGTTGACAGGCGCTGGCTTCCTTCCCCATCTCCCACCCCCCCCCCCCGCCCCCTCATTTCTCATTTCCCTTTCCTCTTATCCCCTTTGCCTTTTGGTTAGGAAAGAATGTCCCACACGTGGGCAGCTAGCCCTTACTTCTTTGTTTACACCCCTTCTACGTCAAAGGATAGCAGCCTTACAAAGAACTCATCAGTTCATTAACCCAAAAACAGAAAGAACCCAAGTAACAGAAGGGGGAAGGGAGGCAGGGAGGAGAGTGGCAGTGCCAAGAAAGCTTAGGTCAAGAGAAGGCACAGAGCCACTGGGCCTCCTGGGGGCCAAAGGCTGATAACACTGGGCACAGAGCACTTACATTTTGGGGGACTCTTTTTTTAAATTGATTTCAGAAAGGAAGAGAGATAGATAGAGCGAGATAGAAACATCAATGACGAGAGAGAATCATTGATTGGCTGCCTCCTGCATGCCCCCCACTGGGGATCGAGCCCACAACCTGGGCATGTGCCCTTGACCAGAATCGATCCCTGGACCCTCTAGTCCTCAGGCCCATGCTCTATCCACTGAGCCGAACTGGCTAGGGCTTGGGGGACTCTTGAGCCCAGATCTCCTAGAAGGAAGATCAGCGCTCAGCCCTCTTGGTTCCCTGGAGATGTGAATATTTAAAAGGCCATTATCCTCGATAGGTTGGAGCTAGTTTCTTCTACTTGGTAACGTGTTAGGCATGGTCCCAGATGGGAAAACCAAGGCAGGAAGGGCCTGCAACCTCAGCCAGTCCCCGACTCCCTTTCTGAATTACAGCTTTCTCTATGTTCTCTGGCTTCCCGTTTCTCCCTGATTTTTGGCCTTTTATCTTTCTATTCTAGCTCACAGCCCTTCTCAGTTTCTCCAAGAGTTATCGACTGTTCTGGTTCTTTGGACTCAAGATAATGAGAAAGGGAGAGAAGCAAACCATCAGTTAGGAAACACCTACAGCGTGCCAGGGATTATGCTGTCCCTCGCACCTGCGCTGTCTTGTTTAAACCCCTCAGCCTATGGAAGGAAAAAGTGAATCTCAAAGAGGCCAGTTGCCCATGGCCACAGAGCTTCCAAGCTAGGATTTGAACCCAAGTGTCCCTGATCCTAGGTATGCCCCTTTCATACTTATCCTTCAGTTCAACAGGGACAAGTTTGGACTTTTTCAAAGAAACTTTTATTAGGAAACTTAAGGGGCAGACAAAAGCAAAGCACAAAGTATGGAAGAGATGAGGGGCAGAGTGATGGTTCTTACGAGAAGTGCCCATGAATCTTGGTATAATAGCTAAATTGTTATAATCTATTAATTTACTTTTAAATCAATACAGAGAAAATAGTATTATTGTGAGTGGAAGGGAGTTCCAGGCATATGAGAACATTTTGATTAAGGATCTCTTGAAAGAACAGCCGAAAAGCTCAAAGACTAAGTACAAATAGCCTAATCCCCCAAATAACTTTGAAATAAGGATTTTAAGCCCCTGGAGAGAATAAAAAGAATAATATTCATTAAAAGAGAAGAGGAGGATATAAAGTAAAAATTGGAAGATATGAAACAAGAAGAGATGGATGTGGAAAAAGATGAGGGTGTGACATACATATAGCTCAAGTTCTGGATAGAGGAAAAGAAAGTCAGAAGAGATATTCAAAGACGTAATGGAGAGGATTTTCCAGAACTGAAGAGCGATGTGAGTGTTCAGGTCAAAAGCACACATCCCATGTGGAGCAAAATGAGTAAATTAACATCTATGCAACAAGATGCTTAGCTTTGCTTGTAAGTTCGTGGCACTGACTGGAAGCAAATAGACCAGAGGCTGACTAAAGTTACGGGTTGTACTGGCAGGGAAAGTCCAACATTGGCCAACTAGGGGTTGCTTATTCCCAAGGCAATCCTCAGGTTGTTGCACCAACAGTGATGGGAGAGAAGCATAATGATGGGGTTGGTCCATGGCCTTGTTCTTTCCTAATGTGATTAAGGCCTGGAAGTATGCAGATGTTCCAAGCCCCAAACTACTGTGAGAAGAGGCCAGCACTAATGACTATTGGTGCTGCCGGGGTGTGTATGGGAAGACACACATTCCCACTGTGAGGAGGCTGACCTCATGCAATCACTTAGGACCACAGCCTTTGGTGCCCTGGGCCATGGGTAAGAGATCACCTGCCTTTTCACCCTGAAGGGGGAGGCTCTGCCTGGCATTTCTATCTCTACTTTTGCGCAAGGAGCTGTGATGCAAGACTTCAAATTAAGACTCCTTATCCTGTGTTGCCTTGATATCTGGTAAGATCCAGGGAGACCTGGATTGTCCTGACCTAAGTTCCTTTCCTCACTCTGCCCCCGCTGATAAAGTCTATAATGATGTAATGAAGTTGCCAAGAGCTTGTATTACATGTAAGGGTGATAAATGCAAGTGCAGATTATGAAAAATGTTGCT